GTAAGTAGGTAGATAGAAACAATAATATGAACACCTTTTTTAATCATTAACTTCCCTCCACCACTTCACCTCCTTCAATGGTCACAAGCCCCTCCACCGGTCGCACATTACTGAGCTGTCTGAGGACTGATGAGCTCCTCTGCCTTATCTTGCAGCTGCTGGGGTATTTCTGAGGGGGCTGACCTGAGGAATGATGTTTCTTTTGGGACTTTAATGGAAAACGGTGGTTTTTGCCCTCTTAGGTTGGAACCTTGAATAATGTATGACGTCCCCGTGGTGACCTTTGATGCATATGCTTCATATAAGGTGATTTTGGTAACTGGTGCACCATCGCTGATGACTGCCACCTTGTTGGTGTTTGAGGCAGCTGGCCTCACCTTGCCAGTGTCATCGAAGACCCATGTTAGCACTTCTTTTACGTCTCTGCATGCCAGAACACCAACATGGAGAGATGGGGGCCTCGCATATGATGTGGTAGGTCTTTGACTTCTGATCCTTTGTAGAGCCATTCTGAAAAAAAAAAGTTTATTTGAAAGATAATGATCAATTATTGGATAGATAGATAGATAGATAGATAGATAGATAAATAGATACATAGATACATAGATAGATACATACTTAGTAGCTAAGAATAAAAACATGACAGTGAAATGATAGTCTAGTTCCTGGACTACCACAGAGAGCTGTTACTACAGTACAAAGTAGCTGTCCTAGCCCTGGGTCAAGGGAGGGCCCATAAGGCAGGCATGTACACAGACAGACCCCAGGTGGAGCTCAAGCACCTTCCCTTTTAGCCTCTGACTAGAAAAAATGCCTTTTTGCCAGACAGTTCTTCAACTTCTTTTTCTGTTTTTTCTTAATTAAATCACTACTGCATGAGTGTACAAGTACTGAATTAGATATGTAAGTAAGTAAAAGGTGAGTTACTTTTTGTTGTTTTTTTTTTTTTTTTTTTTTTTTTTTTTTACAAATAATAGGGCCATCTATAATCTGCTGGAATAATTTGTCAGAACACACATGGAAGCCTTTGGACATCATCTTGTTCTGGGTATTAGCAAGGCACACAGTGGGCCTGGTGATCTCTTCTGGATTCCTGTCAGTCAGACCCCCTTTGATTGAAAAACATGTGAATGAAATGAATGATATTTAATCAAAATTATTTAATGAAATGAAATCTGAAAAACTCGATTTTATGTGACACATGTAAACAGTTTCCTAACAGCTCCCCTTTAATGTATTTTTTTTTTATTATGGTAGCAATTTTAACAAAAAAAAAACCCAAAACAAAAAAACACATGAAAACATTTTATTGGTAATAATTCATGCGATAGACCCCAGAATTAAAAATGAAGTTGGCTGTACAGCATGAGTTTGTGACAACAGGCCCAACAGTGGCTCGTTAAGGTTTTACACCCATATATGACAATAAGTTCAAAGTGTCGCATGTCCATTTGGCACTCAGTTAGGCTTGAAAAAGATAGCCATAGAAACAATAACATGTTAACTGCCTACATTGTTTGTCAGGACAAATTAGCCTATTGCTAGTCATTTTTTAAATGTATTTTTATGACACACTTTTCTATGTGAATTTTTTTTTTTTTTTTTTTTTTTTTTTTTTACAGGGTGAAGAAGGCTAAACAGATGTAGGCTTAAGCAAATTCAAATTGTATGACTGAAAACCCCAGGACAAATATGATAAGGGACTGTTTGTTATTTGGGGGGAAGGTAATTTTTAAGCACTGGGGAGAGACTTGTGTTTTTTATTTTGGCTTAGGGGAGGAGCCAACACAGTCTCAGTCTGAAGTCGTCAAAATCTGGTGTTTGGGCAGTGACTTGCGGCGTCAGACAGTGATGAAAAAAGGCGTCCTTTAACGTTGGCACGATACATGGCCGGTCTGGTGGCGTTGCGGAAATGCAGCAGGACAAGAACCAAAGTTAAGGCCGCAAAAGTCCAAGTAGGGTAAGTGGGAGGGGTGATGGATGGGTCCAACAAACACAAACCTTCACGCAGGAGAGCAGTGTTTGCATCCATAAGATTCCAAAGCCAAACCCTGTTTTGGTTTTCCTGAACCTAACCACGTGCGTTACTTTTTGGAGGGAAAAAAAAGGTCAAATGCATTGTTGTACTGTCGCAGTGCTTTTATTTTGAAAGAGAAGGTATGTTAACAGTAAATTTCCCATGAAAACAGAAATTTATCTTGAAAGAAGTAATGCATGTAGCAGGCAGGGGGGCTGGAGCCTATCCCAGCTGACACTGGGTGAGAGACGGGGTACACCCTGGACAGGTCACCAGACTATCACAGGGCTGACACATAGAGACAGACAACCATTCAAACTCAGATTCACACCTACGGACACCACCTCTTTGGACTGTGGGAGGAAGCCAGAGTACCCAGAAAAAACCCACGCTGACACAGGGAGAACATGCAAACTCTGCACAGAAGGGCTCCCCCACCATGGGGTTTGAACAAGGAACTCTCTTGCTGTGAGGTGACAATGCTAACCACTGCACCACCTTGCTGCCACTAGTATGTTCAATATTTAAAGATATAAAATATGTATAATGTGAGTATGTAAAGTGTGTAATGAAAATACAGTCAGGTCCATAATTATTTGGACAATGATACAGTTGTCGTCATTTTGGCTCTGTACACCACCACAATGGGTTTTAAATGAAACAATGAATACCTGCTTAAAGTGCAGACTCTCAGCTTTCATTTAAGGCTTTTTTCAAAAATGTAGTATGAACCGTGTAGGAATTACAACCATTTCTTCACACAGTCCCCCAAATTTAAGGGCTCATAAGTATTTGGACAAACTAACATAATCATCAATTAAACAGTCAGTTTTAATACTTGGTTGCAAATCCTTTACAGTCAATGACTGCCTGAAGTGTTGGACACATAGGCATCATCAGATGCTGGGTTTCTTCCCTGGTGATGCTCTGCCAGCCCTTTACGGCAGCCGTCTGCACTTCCTGCTTGTGTTTTGGGTGTTTTGCCCTCAGTTTTGGCTTCAGCAAGAGAAACGCATGCTCAGTTGGATTCAGGTCAGATGATATGACTTGGCCATTGCAGAACATTCCACTTCTTTGCCTTAAAAATGTCTTTGGTTGCTTTTGCAATATGCTTCAGGTCAATGTCCATCTGCACTGTGAAGCATCGTCCAATGAGTTTTGAAGCATTTAGTTGAATCTGAGCAAGTAATGGTGCCCCAAACACTTCAGCTTTTATCCTGCTGCTCTTGTCAGCAAGACAAGACTTCACTAGAATAAATACAGAGGGTTTATCACAAGATGTAAACCATTGGTTAGCCTTAAAAATGGAAGGCCAGATTAGAGTTTGTCAAAAACCATCTAAAAAGCCTGTACAGTTGTGAAACAGCATACTATGGACAGATAAAACAAAGATCAACTACCAGAATGATGGGAAGACAAGAGAAGGAAGAAGGGAAGGAACTGCTCATGATCCAAAGCACACCACCTCATCAGTGAAGCATGGTGGAGGTACTGTTATGTCATGGCCATGTATGGCTGCCAGTGGAACTGGTTCTCTTGTATTTATTGATGATGTGACTGCTGACAAGAGCAGCAGGATGAAAGCTGAAGTGTTTGGGGCACCATTATCTGCTCAGATTCAACCAAATGCTTCAAAACTCATTGGACGATGCTTCACAGTGCAGATGGACAATGACCTGAAGCATACTGCAAAAGCAACCAAAGACATTTTTAAGGCAAAGAAGTGGAATGTCCTGCAACGGCCAAGTCATATCATCTGACCTGAATCCAATTGAGCATGCGTTTCTCTTGCTGAAGCCAAAACTGAGGGCAAAACACCCAAAACACAAGCAGGAAGGGCAGACGGTTACAGTAAAGGGCTGGCAGAGCATCACCAGGGAAGAAACCCAGCATCTGATGATGCCTATGTGTCCAACACTTCAGGCAGTCATTGACTGTAAAGGATTTGCAACCAAGTATTAAAACTGACTGTTTAATTGATGATTATGTTAGTTTGTCCAAATACTTATGAGCCCTTAAAATCGGGGGACTGTGTGAAGAAATGGTTGTAATTCCTACACGGTTCATACTACATTTTTGAAAAAAGCCTTAAATGAAAGCTGAGAGTCTGCACTTTAAGCAGGTATTCATTGTTTCATTTAAAACCCATTGTGGTGGTGTACAGAGCCAAAATGACGACAACTGTATCATTGTCCAAATAATTATGGACCTGACTGTATGTGCCTTATACCACGGTACAATGGATAAAACATAAAACTAGCTTGTAAAGTTAGAAATATAAAAATATGTGTATAATGCTACAATGCACAACACAGCATTTTTGTAGGAAAACATGCCAAAAAAAAAATCACCAATACTACACCATTCATCATAACCAGAAACTGTAAAACAAGAAATTACCATTGGTTTTTCAAATTTCCAACAGTCCCTAAACACAATATGTGGGACAAATGCTTCCATCAGAAAAAACATTCACATATCTGAGCTTAAATTAGTGATATTTCATCAAAATCACTTTCGTCTATAAAAAAAGTACCAAAAAATAAACCGTTAGGACGAACCAAAGAGTGTAAAATGAGGCTTTTTTCAACTCCAGGATTTTGGTTTCAACTTTTAACTTTCAACTTTCAAACATCAAAGGGTACGTTTTTAAAAATCCAACAACTAATTTATGGAGGAGGGAGGGTCATGCATTTTTCTCCAGTCACTCAGGGAGGCTCAAGAAATTTTTTTGTACCTTCAAGGAGGATAAAAAAAAAAAAAAAATATCACACCCCAGCCACCTTGATAAGTAAAGAACAGTCCCTAATTAAGCCTGAGAACCTTGGGAAGACTGTAGTCCTCTACATTTAGTACTACTTGTGGTCAAACTGTGGTAAGTGCTTGGTGTGGGAAGGTGAGGTCCACCAATGAACACCTGGCCCTTAATTGCTGTATTGACAACACCTGCTGTGCTCAGGTGTTTGATTAGGACCAGACCTCACCTTCTGCTCTGTCTCTAAAAGTGCCTGTGACGAGGAGAGTTCAGCATTTGCATCACACTTCTGAGGCTCTCTGCCTGTGTTGTGTGCAGGGCGTTTTCTTTGTTCTAATGGCGTGTGGAGAAAGCGGGGGCAATAAGAATTTACTATGTTTAGGAATTTTAGTGGTTGCTAGTTCATTTTGCCATTGCACAAGACTGACAAGGCTTAAAGCATTGGATAGATTAAGAGGAAACTCGACGCTTAGCAAAAGTCAAGCTGAAGGAGGTGATCTGTGCCATGGAAGACTCTTAATTGGGCAAAATTCATTGCAAGCTGATGAACTCAAAGGAACAAAGGCCACTGAAAACGTTCTGGATGTTGATACAGATTACCAAGAAGACATGGGTATGTAGAAGTGAAATTCTTATTGCAATCCTGCATGATTGCATACTGTTAAATGTGACTTAATATTTTGAAGTCCTATGCATTCATTGAACACCTTTTTCACCTTAAGGCTTGTAGTTGAATGTGTGTATCACTATTTAATGGTGATGTACCTATTTGAATTTTCTGAAAGGTTGGGGGGAGCCCAAGCAACCCAAAGGACAGGTTAGTGGCGTTTCAAGGCCAAATTCAGAGACAGACAGCGCAGTAGTGGAACGACTCCTTAGAATGGAACCAAAGGTTGAATGCACAGGAGACTCCATGAAGCTTCAGGTTCAAGATGCTGCCTCTACCTGTGGATCTCTGTTCTTTGTGGACAGAGGTAAGTCTCATGGAGTCACAAGTGCCTTTATACTGCACACAATACTCGAGAGTTTGCAGAGCAGTTTCATGCACTTTTTTTTAAATTCCTTTCTGTTGCTTTAATTGCTCAGGAAGTCGCATGTCACCCCTGCCTCTGTCCAAGTTGCCATCAAGCTGCGGATACACTATCAAGTCAACACAGAGCGATTTGGTCTTGGTCGCACCTTACAATGGTTGCTTTGTCGCTCTTGAGGTGAGATGCCTTTCTCTGAAAGCACTGCACAACCTGAACCATGTACACTTGTAACATTTTCTTCCTGGTTTTAGGAGGATAGCTACATTCTTCCATTACGTTGGTGTGGGTTACCAGTGAGGATGTCATGCCCTTTGAAGAGGCAGTCTTCACCTAACCCTCCGATGGTCACCTGCCACGCTGAGGGCATGGTTGTGAAAACAACATGGACGGTCTCTGTTGCTGACCTTAACTTAAAATGTAAGTTTGTGTTTTTCTTAACTTTTCAGGATAAGTCAACCTTAAAGGCATAACTGCTGTGAAAGGTGTAACAAATGATGGCTACACCAGTTTGGTTGTGTTCCTTCTACTCAATGTTGGAATGATTACAGTGGGTAAAGTCTCTGAAACTCTTCAGTACAAAGCACACCCCAGGCAATGATGCAGCATAAAATTTTCTGGGCAGTGACATTAAGTTGACCAGGATCAGACACCAACATGGCTGTGCTCAATAGCTAATGCAGTCGTTTCATATTTCCTGCATATTCAGGATGGGTTTGTGGATTTGGAGCTAAATGTTGTGCCTGGGGCATGTCATGTATTAATCATACTTGCTACCTGGAGAGGTTGGAAAAATGTTTTCTCCCTGTTCCAAAATCAAACCCAGAAAAAAGTAGGGTGGTCTAGCTAGCTACTGAAGATGTAGCCTACTGAAAGTATGAATATTGCCTTACCTCCCCCAGAGATCCCTTCTTGTCCAGGTACTCATGCACATGGGTGAAGCTAAACACCATTCTGCACTCAGTGATGCCACACAGCTGGTTCAATATCAGCAAAGTTTCCCTTAATATTCATTATCTTCTGTGTCAATCAGCAGTAATGTGGTGGCTCACTTTTACACTGATCTGTAGCCTATAGTTCGGCTTTAGCTTCTGTCTTTGTCTTTTTAACCTGTAGTTGCTGCTGAGTCACTTTGACATCCTGGATATATTTTTCAAACACAGACTGTAGACCCCTCTGTCTGCTTATCTCTGGAATCACTATTTCATTTTTCCAAAAATATGATTAATTCTTCAGGGACTGTAGTTAGTTACAGTGTGGGCTCCTTACTACTCCGACAACTTGTCGGTGGGGCTTAGCAAAGGATCAATTGGCATATTTTCTGTTTAGTCTTTCAGGAAACTACTTGATTCCATAACTTCTCAGTTTTTCTAAAGTTTGATTTTCTGAGTCTTAAGTGATGGGGCTAAACTTGGATTACTGAGGGTGTTGAAGCTGCTTCAGTTTGTCCAGTGATAGATGGATTAGATGGGCCTCTAATCAGGTTAAGAGTAGCTGCTACAGAAGTTGGAGAACGGCTATCTGCAGCGTAGCAAGTTATGGCAACACGGCTCATTGGCATTTAATTTATTTTGAGGGAAAGAAATTTCTGCCCTGTGACTGTCTGTTTACCTTTTTTGCAAATTGTCCCTTGCTGTAATGTATTGCGCAACAGTGAATGGCAACTGGGAGCCGCTGATGAAGGCATCACCCAGATGTGGGTTCAGTGTGGTTGTACATCCTGAAGGTGTGGTCATCTCTGTTCGCTATGCACCCTGCCTGGAGAAAAAGGTATAGTACAAATTTGAATCTACAGATTCCCCCCTTTTCTTTTGTTTTATTTAAGTAAATGTTAAGTATAATTTCAACTTCTGTGTTTCAGGATGGAATGTACACCCTTGAATTGGCTGGAGATGGAGAAACCCAAATTTCCTGTCCATCACTGTCACCAGCTCAAGCTGAACAGCCCAAAAAGCCTGGCAAAGTGGAGCATCCCTCCACCCCTTCTCTGAAAAATCCAGCACAATCTGTTCTCCAGGTGCCGAAGATTCCAGAAGCACCAAGCAAGAAACCAAATCAAGAGCCAAAGGATGTCTATCCACCTCCATTACATTCCTACCCCAATTTCTTTTACCCCTTTCCTGGAAAACCAAACACAAATCCTGCACCTACTGTACAGCCATCCCCACAAACTGTCCCTCCTGCAAAGGGACAAGTGCCCCAACCATTCATTCCTTCACCATTTTATCCCTGGCCAGCCCAACCAGAAGTGCCTGTTGCGAGAGAGGGCAAAGATAACCCAACTATTGCTCCAATACCTCCTGAGCCCGAAGCCCCACAGGGCCAAGTACACCAGCCATTCTACCCCTACCCCTTCTACCCTCGGCCAGTTCCTGAAAAGCCAACTGCTGCTCCAAAACCTCCACAGCCTGAAGCCCCTCAGGGCCAAGTAAAGCAGCCATTCTACCCTCAGCCAAAGCCAGAAAAGCCAACTGCTGCTCCAAAACCTGAAGCCCCTTGGGGCCAAGTACAGCAGCCATTCTACCCATACCCCTTTCCCTTCTACCCTCAGCCAGAAAAGCCAACTACTGCTCCCAAACCTCCACAGCCTGAAGCCCCTTGGGGCCAAGTACAGCAGCCATTCTACCCATACCCCTTTCCCTTCTACCCTCAGCCAGAAAAGCCAACTACTGCTCCCAAACCTCCACAGCCTGAAGCCCCTCAGGGCCAAGTACAGCAGCCATTCTACCCATACCCCTTTCCCTTCTACCCTCAGCCAGAAAAGCCAACTACTGCTCCCAAACCTCCACAGCCTGAAGCCCCT